GCTACCGAATAACGAAACATACGAACATCATCATTATTATCAGTTTTATTCACAATCAAGGTTATTTTGGGTGACATCGCGTAAATATAAATGTGTTGTTGACCCACCACCACCAGCTTCATCAGGCAAACCGCCTGATGAAGCTGATTGTAATCAACAGTGAAACGTCGTACTCGAATTGTAAATGTTGTGGGTTTACTCTCCAACACACCGGTGGGCTGAAGTAATAGCTAATTGCCACGTTTTGTTTACGTGACAAACCTTACTAATTGGCTGTGTCGGGTGGTGGTGGGTTAACGACACATTTATATTTACGCGATCTAACCCAAAAATAACCTTTATTATTAATATTATTGGTCGCGAAAGCCTACGCATGACACACATGTATCCGTTGTAGTTTGCATCTGTTGATCAAATATGGGAACTTCGCCTGGGCCAGGTTTCAATATCAATTGGCATTTATGGCGTATCCAGGAATAACACCCAGCCGCCACCTCTCCACCACCACTACCACCACCACAAAAGTTGTGTAAAATCAGTTAGCGAGCGCCCATTAAGGTGGCAAGCCACCCCGGTGTATGTGTGGGCCAGCAACACGCCTCACTGGCCTGGCTGCCTCCCAGTACTCACGTTGATCAGATCATCACACCGACTGGACCGACTCATAATCTTGGGTTGAGTTGACTTAGTGGAGGGCCAGGAGGCTCCGTTCAGATGCTATATGCATTCCGTGACCATGCCCCCACGACACACAAATATCCCTTGCATGACCTGTTACAGAAGATGATCTATGGATTTTTTGTTTGATATTCCTCATGTTTGAGAGTGTACGGGACAGCTTTGTTCGCATTCAAAATAAAAAAAAATTCCGCCTCTCTCCGATGCTGAAAGTGCGGTGTAAGCGGTTCGTCAAATAATATAAATTGATGGGGAACGCACGTACACCCACACCACACGCATGTTTTATCGCCAATGTGGAAACGCGCTCACACACGCCCGCGTACGTGATTCACCATCGAGCCTAACCGCTAGAACGGAAATCCCCGTGCTATGACGCGCAATGTCTTCTCGTCTGGGCAAATCTTGCCTGCTTCACGCATCGATTGCACACGCATGTGGGTCACTGTCAGGCCACGGTTGTGCGTTTCATTGCTCATTCCTGCGGTCCTTCAACGGAGGAGGAGGAGGAGCAGGAACAGATAAAACGACATGGACAAACTCCTGAAGCCCTCTCTTGTCGTGGCCAGCAGAACCTCGACACTGGCATTGATACTCCTGAACCATATTACCATCGTATGCAAGAATAAAGGAGAGAATCGGCACTTTAAAAAAAATGTATATTCAAATGTTTCGTCATGGGTAATTATATCATTGAGATGTAACCGTTCGTTTGTAATGGTGTCTCGGGGTGTCGGTTGGCACACTTAAACATGTGTACGGACGCACGTGTGTGTGTGCGCGTATATGTATGGAAACATCTGCCACAACGGTGTAATGGTTAAAAGTAAGGCTGAACGATTAATCGATTTCAAATCGAAATCGAAATTTTAAACAATGCGATTAGCAAATCGCAAAGGCTGCGATTTTTTGCGATTTGAAAAGTCCTATTATTTTCTTATTGGAATTGTTTTATTTTTTTATCACTATAACTTTATTTATTCAACTTAACAATTGTTCTATGTTTGATTATTCTATTTAAATTAAAACATTTTAATAAATACATGTTGGAAGCAATTCATACAGTGAGGGAAAAAAGTATTTGATGCCCTGCTGATTTTGTACGTTTGCCCACTGACAAGGAAATTATCAGTCTATAATTTTAATGGTAGGTTTATTTGAACAGTGAGAGACAGAATAACAACAACAAAATCCAGAAGAACGCATGTCAAAAATTGTATAAATTGATTTGCATTTTAATGAGGGAAATAAGTAGTTGACCCCCTCTCAAGTAAAAATATTTCTGGCTCCCAGGTGTCTTTAATACAGGTAACGAGCTGAGATTAGGAGCACACTCTTAAAGGGAGTGCTTCTAATCTCAGCTTGTTACCTATATAAAAAACACCTGTCCACAGAAGCAATCAATCAATCAGATTCCAAACTCTCCACCATGGCCAAGACCAAAGAGCTCTCCAAGGATGTCAGGGACAAGATTGTAGACCTACACAAGGCTGGAATGGGCTACAAGACCATTGCCAAGCAGCTTGGTGAGAAGGTGACAACAGTTGGTGCGATTATTCGCAAATGGAAGAAACACAAAAGAACTGTCACTCTCCCTCGGCCTGAAGCTCCATGCAAGATCTCACCGCGTGGAGTTGCAATGATCATGAGAACGGTGAGGAATCAGCCCAGAACTACACGGGAGGATCTTGTCAATGATCTCAAGGCAGCTGGGACCATAGTCACCAAGAAAACAATTGGTAACACACTCCGCCGTGAAGGACTGAAATCCTGCAGCGCCCGCAAGGTCCCTCTGCTCAAGAAAGCACATGTACATGCCCGTCTGAAGTTTGCCAATGAACATCTGAATTATTCAGAGGAAAACTGGGTGAAGGTGTTGTGGTCAGATGAGACCAAAATGGAGCTCTTTGGCATCAACTCAACTCGCCGTGTTTGGAGGAGGAGGAATGCTGCCTATGACCCCAAGAACACCATCCCCACCGTCAAACATGGAGGTGGAAACATTATGCTTTGGGGGTGTTTTTTCTGCTAAGGGGACAGGACAACTTCACCGCATCAAAGGGACGATGGACGGGGCCATGTACCGTCAAATCTTGGGTGAGAACCTCCTTCCCTCAACCAGGGCATTAAAAATCGGTCGTGGATGGGTATTCCAGCATGACAATGACCCAAAACACACGGCCAAGGCAACAAAGGAGTGGCTCAAGAAGAAGCACATTAAGGTCCTGGAGTGGCCTAGCCAGTCTCCAGACCTTAATCCCATAGAAAATCTGTGGAGGGAGCTGAAGGTTTGAGCTTCCAAACGTCAGCCTCGAAACCTTAATCACTTGGAGAAGATCTGCAAAGAGGAGTGGGACAAAATCCCTCCTGAGATGTGTGCAAACCTGGTGGCCAACTACAAGAAACGTCTGACCTCTGTGATTGCCAACAAGGGTTTTGTCACCAAGTACTAAGTCATTTTTTGCAGAGGAGTCAAATAGTTATTTCCCTCATTAAAATGAAAATCAATTTATAACATTTTTGACATGCGTTTTTCTGGATTTTTTTGTTGTAATTCTGTCTCTCACTGTTCAAATAAACCTACCATTAAAATTATAGACTGATCATTTCTTTGTCAGTGGGCAAACGTACAAAATCAGCAGGGGATCAAATACTTTTTTTCCCTCAACTGTACCTTTTAAGTTCTCATCCTTGCATCAGAATATTTAGAGCAGTTCATATTTAGATGGTATCACGTGGTAATGCTCCATCACATGTTTTAAATACATTACACAGTGAATATTGAACTGAAGCTTCACTTGAAAAAACTGTAATCGCAAATCAAATCGCAATCGCAATATCTGTCAGAAAAAAATCGCAATTAGATATTTTCCCCAAATCGTTCAGTCCGAGTTAGCAGCGCACTGCACTTACAATGCAGATATCACCGGGTCTATCCGACCTAGAAAATACACGCAATTAGTCCTTTCTCAGGTTGCGTTTTGGTGGGGTAAAGTGTGGGCAGCTCCGATCTCTTCCAAGACGTCTGGCCAGCGTAGAAGAGTAGGCCAAATGCCATCCAGAGGGGGCTCTCTAGCGGTCACTCGAGTGGAGACCTTTCTGCCAGCAGTGACGTGAGCAAGAAATTGCAGGGTTGCACCCTTAGCTTGTATATGAATATATCGGTACATCGGTGTATATTACCAGCTCGAATATGGTATGTTGAACTTCTTTCGCACCGTACGTAGCCAACCGTGCTAATCAGAGGCCGGGGGGGGGGGAAGGACAACAAACTGAACACAAAAAACATCGTGTATCCTTTTAAATCCTACTGTAACATGGATCAGACCGATGAAACACACTGGCAACGAAATTGAACAATAGCTGAAAAGTACACAAAAGCCAGTTGCTTGGATAATCGTTGCTTGAAATGGCACTGCGATGAAGACGGACAATGGAATGACCAGCTTGTGTACAACAGAGCGAGATGTATTGTTGATTGGCGATCATTTGAGGGATGGTATTGGGTTGGAGAGAGGCGTTTATCCAGCAGTGGATAGCCCGTGTCTCTTGTTGTCGACGGCGATATCCAGTTGTATTAATTGTCATGTTTTTTTGCTGGCACGGACAGGCTACTGCCCTCACGACACACAACTGATTCGAAGAGAAACGATTAACACGGTTGGCGACGTACGGTGCGAAAGAAGTTCAACATACATACATACATCCGTACATTCGTTGTTGTTTAGGCAAGTATTATTCGCCCCTATCTATGTGTGGGGACGTGGTAAGTGACAGCAGTACCACATACACCCAACTGCCTCTATCTGTCAAATTGCTGGGGTTATGATGACACCAAAGCATGCTAGGCTGTGCCACAACCAGTTTTATTTATTTTTTTACGCAGAGCGCCACCGCTCCCAACTCACACAAAGACAACGATTCCCGCTATAGCCTTTAGCAGACTTTTTGTCGGGCAAGCGTTGCTAGCGAGGCACCTATGAAGGCCGGCCAGCACGGCACGCGACGATGTTTACACACCGCACCCCTGTGAGCCGTAGGACCGGTTCAGATAATCGTCACTGACATCGGCCCTGGGCGGGACTCGAACTCGCGTGGCCAGGTTCACAGCGCGGCGCACTAACCACTGCGCCACCGCTCCCCCCCCCACTCACTACTCACACACACGCTGTCAATCAGTAGACGCACGCGTGCACCATGCCCCCTCTCTCGTTCTCTCAACCCCCCCCACCCCCCCACATCAACCTCGCCACCCGCCCGCCACCTCCGGCCACAACCCAACCAACAGCGGGCGCCCCCCCCCCCCCCCCCAACGCCCCAACTCCACCACCCAACCAGACAATATTTTTAGCAGCTCTCAGTATAGATCAATATAGGGTTACACTCCGATCGTAGTAATGCGGCCCAGCGCACCGCCAACACTGTAGGGGGCTTGTGCGCATAACGGTGTGAGCCACCACGCGGGCTACTTGCCTCCCACCACCACCATCACCACCACCCCCCCAAGTCCCTTATCTGCTCCGTCAGGCAGTTTCCTGCACGTGTCCTGGGTGAGCATTACGCCGCAAGTTGGCCCACTTTGCAACTCGCCGCGTTGTTTGCTCAACGTCGCGTGGTCGGAACAATAGCGCGTGGTGGTGGTGCTGCAGCAGCAGCAGCAAGCAAGCAAGCAAGCGTGGAGACGCAGCAGAGCACGAGGGGAGCGACGTTGAGGTAGGGAGGCGAGCGGGCTGTGGCGAACACCTCGTGGGGTTTGAATGAGTGGCGTACGTGGGGACAGGAGGACAGGAGCGCACACAAAGACCCCCCACCCCCACCCACCCACCCACCACCACCCCGCCGCCCCGTGTAGCCTTAACAGACTGTTGTGTCAAGTTGCACACGAGGGGGTGGGTGGCCAGCACACCACTCCCGGTCGCCTTTGTCTCTCCCCGAGTGGCGATGTTTTACTGCACACCGTAGCAGGTGCTCATTCGGCGGCTGACTCGACCTGGGTGTTAGTCCAGAAGCGGTTCAGAGAGAGAGAGAGATATATATATCTCGTCACTGGTGTTGTTCACCGCGAGCGGGAATCCAACTCGAGTCGCCGGGTTCGTAGCGCAGCGCTAACCGCTAACCGATAACCGCTAACCGCTAACCCTGCCGCTCAGCACGCACGCGCGCACGTGGGGAGGTGAATGTGTGGGACTGGAGGAACGAAGCGCGTGGACCTCTCCACAAATCTGGCTGTCGCCTGATGAAGCTGGTTGTGATTACCGGCGAAACGTTACGGTACGCGGATTGTGAATGTTGTGGCTTGGCTCTCCAACACAACCGGTGTTGCTGTACTAAGTGACGAATTGGCCACGTTCTGTTTACGTGACAAACCTTACGAGTTGGCTGTGTCGGAGCGGTGGCGGGTTTTAACGACACATTTATATATTTACGCGATCTAACCCAAAACACCTCTATTATGGATGATATTGTTCGCGAAAGCCGCCTTCGTGTTGAACTGGGACAGAGCGTTGGGTATTCGGGCCAAATGAGTGGACGGTCAAAGTGAGAGGTGAGAAACAGCGAAGGGGAAGCAGGCAGTGAGAGACAGACAGGGCAACTGCTGTGCTTGTGTGATGTGTGTGTGCAGAGAGTAGGGGCTTCGACGAGAGCGTGGCTGGAAACACACACACAGAGAGAGAGAGAGAGGTTAGCGAATGGCGTGGTTGGTGGTGGTGGTTGCGGAGACAGACACGCGTGAATTATATCGGTCAGCGAGCTGCTAGGAGAGACGGGACAAGCGCGGCTCTCACAAGAGACACCGACGCAGGAGAGTGGAGGTCGAGACTCGTGGCGAACGGCTCTAAAGATCGAGACGAACGGGCGTCGACGAAGCCACTTGAAGGACCGACTTGGTGACTTTATTTATTCAGAACTCGCCGTCTCGTAGTCACCGCAGTGCATTTGCCGGCTAACTTGACAACGTTGAAAGTTGTTCTTGTTGTTGTTGCTTACCGAATTAGATTTTTGTTTGTTAAATGCCCCGTTATTTTTGATTGGTCTAGCAGGTCACAGACGCGTTACAGAGACAACATGCTGGAGAGTCGCCTTCTGACAGCTCCAATGTCACCGTGGCAGGCGCGGGTGGCGCGTCCCTGCACGCGAGTGGGGCCGTCGCCGTAGAGCTCAGGGTGGGGGGGGGGGGGGTGTTGCTCGTTGTTGTCGTTCTTGTTGTCATCGTTGTTGTTGTTGTTGTCATCGTTGTTGTCGTTCTTGTTGTCATCGTTGTTGTCATCGTTGTTGTTGTTGTGGGCGCGCAACGGCCCCGTCACGACAACTGCCCCCAAAGGCGGCCGCGCGCGTGCGGGGTCCCAAGCGTCCAGACGGCGTTGGCAGCTAAAAGTGTCGCACCTCGCCTCCCCCCTCGTGGTAGGGGTAGGGGGGGTAGGGGTAGGGGGGTACCTCGCCTCCCCCTCGGGGTAGGGGTAGGGGGGGTACCTCGCCTCCCCCTCGGGGTAGGGGGGGTACCTCGCTTCCCCCCTCGGGGTAGGGGTAGGGGGGGTACCTCGCCTCCCCCTCGGGGTAGGGGGGGTACCTCGCCTCCCCCTCGGGGTAGGGGGGGTACCTCGCCTCCCCCTCGGGGTAGGGGTAGGGGGGGTACCTCGCCGCACCGAGCAGCTCACGAAGCCGCCACCCTTGCTGCTTCGCGAGCCTGACGACGGAACGGCGGAAGCGAGCCACGCGCGAGCCTTCATCTCCCCCTTTACTCGTCCCGCTAAGCGACTCCGACGCCCTCTTCCATCCCCCCGGCCTCGGCTCGCTCGAGGCCGGGGGCTCCACGTTGCCACGCTGCTGGGTCGTCAACTGTTTGGAAGCGCCGCTCACAGACAACGCCCGTCCCGACTTCTCTGGGGTGGGCTGGGAGAGGGGGGGGGGGGTTGGTGAAACATCTGTGGAAAAAGAGCTTTATAGCTCATCGGATTCCTCCGGTGTAAATGAATATGATGATTCTAAATTCTCCTATCCGTTGTATGCCAGCCGTCGCCTCCGGCCCACCCACCCTGTAAATCGCTTTCGTTGAACCTCGTTTCGATATTCGTCGTCGCGCGCTTCAGGAACGCATCGTGAAACTCGGGGTATTTTTTTCTTTATTGTGGATTGTGCTGTCTTGTGACCCCCGATTAATTCTCTAAAACTTTTTTTTTAAAGTAGGGTTTATTTAAAACAGAAATGAATGTGCAAAGGGGAAAACATTTAGGGCCCTATTAACTGGGAGGGGGGGGGGGGTCGCAAGAAATATGGACCACCAGTATTGTACTGTGAATGTTTCCCATGCTGTTGGGAATGCCGCTCTCATATCTGGGGTGGAGCAACCGATTCCTACTTCACTCTACTCAACATAATTCATTGTTAAACACTCGGGGTGTGACTTCCAGCAGTTACCGATTCACTCTGCAGTCATTCTCATACCGGCGGTAAACCGCCTCTATTTCACTCTTCTATCGCTTGCTTAACACGGGTACGATTCCGTGGTGAGGAATACATACCCTGTCAACCCATACGGGATACCCGTATTCTTGTACAGGGAAATTGAGTTTTCAGGTTCATACGGCGTGCAGCCGTTTCAATACGGCCAAACAATGTTTCGTCTGTTTGTTTGTGTTTCTCCCTTGCGATGGGACTTTGTAGGATGAATATTGAGATTTATAAGAGCACGTGGTGACCAATAAGGTCTGAATAAGCTAGGCACTGTTAAGGAGTTAACAGGTATGGGAATACCAAACTGTCTCGTCTCATCGCCAACGTGTTCAACCACCATCACCACCACCACCACACCAGGGCCGGATGAATATTATTGTCGGCCCTATGCATTTTCTGCTTCGTAGGCCTTCAGCGATAACTTTCGACAGTCGCTGCTGCTGCTGCCCAATGTTACTACCGCCGCTGTCACCCCGCTGGACTGACGTCGTTACCGCTCACACCTTCATTATTTAGTCTGCGCCCGAATTTGAATGGTTAGTGCGCTCTGCGTGCCGCAGATAAGCAGATTCAATTTGAAATTATTTAAGACAAAAAAAAAATACGAGGTGAGCCTAGAAATATTACAAGCGAGCATTTATTCAACAATTTTTTTTTTACTATGATCATCATATCGGATGACGCAGCTTAGAAAGGATGCCGTTCATTTTCATCGATAACAAATTCAATGTCCTGACAAATCGACCGCGTGGAGAGCGCCATGTTGCTTTACTTTTCATTAAAGCTTAAATATTTATTTGACTGTTGTTTCAGGTGTAATACGCCTCGCTTGCAAAGAGTCAGCGACTTGTTACCCCTGCAAAGTAATCGCAACGACGAGCAGCCCATGTCAATATTTTTTTTATTCAAGAAGATATCTTGGTGAATTTTTTTTTGTTATCACGCAATACGGCCCTGCACCACACTGCAACTCACGCTCGTTTTTATTCTTCCCATCGCACTGCTCCACTTTGTAATGCCCTCCCTCCTATCATCGCCTCTTGTCACAAATTTGGATCATAACCTCACTCGATGCAAGAAAAAACGTGTTGACGCTTAACTATTGTCATTTCAATAGTGCTGTGGGTTCCTGGCCGCTTTGCGTTGTAGCCAACGCGATTAAAAAAAAGTTATTTCTTTGCTGCGTGAATATCGTTATCCTTACCAAAGACAAAGATCCCCAGTATAGCCTTAACAAGCTTTTGTGGCAAGTGCTGTTTGCGAGCACCCGATGAAGGCCGACACGCACATGAGGGGGTGGGTGGCCCACACCACGTGACGATGTTTGCACATCGCACCAGGTACTAATTTTAAGGCTGAGTGGACCTAGGAGAGGCTCAGGACCGGTTCAGATGATCGTCACTGGCGTGGACCGTGAGCGGGAATCAAACTTGGGTCGCTGCGTTCGTAGCTTAGCGCGCTAACCACTGCACTACCGCTTACCACTTGTTTTTTTTTTATCCTAACCAGCTGTCGTTTAACAGTGGTTGTGGAGCACGTGAACTCTGGGCTGGGGTTCTGAAAGAAGTTCTGATGGCTCTCGGCGCATTTACCACCCAACAGCCGATGACCCAACCATGATTTCTCAACTTGGAATTTAATGTTTCCATTCTTATACAATTACTCTTGCTGCCACCCCACGCCGCGTCGAGCGTGAGGGTTGTTTGACTGACCATACTTCACCACACTGATCAGTGCGGGTTGGTGAAGGCGTGGGGAGAGGGACTCCAAGACCAATACCGGTTCAGGGGGCTGGGTTCATAGTGCAGTGCGCTAACCACTGCGCCACCGCTTAACAGCATTATGTTGGTTTATTAGGTTATCCTGGAAAGACATCACTCTTTACTCTTTGGGTCTTTCGGTAAAGTCACGTAGGTATAAAATAAATTAAATCACCAAATACATGTTATACCTACGTGATGACTTTACCGAAAGAACCAAAGAGTATGGATCCCTACAGTCACGGAAACTTCAAATCAAGAGGTCACTCTTTTTTTTTTACAATCGGTTGTATTCAGACGAGTCATTTTATACTTTAGACACGTTCCACATATGGGTCCGGCTGAGTAGAGACGCACACTCACACTTTCCTTCCGGGTGAGTGGCAACAATTGGTTTAGTGATTTAGCGAGCAGCTCGCCATTGAAAAGTTCAAATCCCAGGCAGAAGGCCAGCCAACCTAGCATCATCTCCCCAGGTTCACCAACACGAGTAAACTCCGT